ACATTTAGGAAGATTTATGAAATGTTTTACTGTTGAAAATGTGATCTATCAATAGGCCAATTTATTCTTTTTCTTGGGAAAATTTTTGCAGGATGATTTGTCCTTTTTTTTTTTTTTTCAGGTGTCTCATTTGTTCAATGGTCTTCAGATTCCTTAGCTGTATGCCTTCATTCTCCTGAAAAGACAAAAACAAAACCTTTCCCCAACCCTAATTTTGGGGAGATTCTCTTATGGCAAGTTATATCTGATTAAATGAAAAGCATTTGTTAGTTGTATAAGTGAGTTTAGATTGAATGGTCACACTGGTTGATGAACTATCATCTCTTCTAATCAAGAGGTCTCTCTTGTTCAAGTCTAATCTTTATCAACTTTTAATTATGGTTTCTCCTGAAATTTTTGTTTTATTTTCTAAAGCTTTGCTATATCTGGAACAGTATAGTTTTTTACACTAGGCATTAGGTCCTTTAATTGCTCTGAGAAGGAGTTTCTTCCAAGATGACAGGAAATGAGCGAACCAAATTTGACATGGGTGCCTGTGAGAGCTTTTCTTAAAGTATAGATGTTAACCCAAAACTTGTAAGATTAATATGTGTGTGTGGTGTGTGTGTGTGTGTGTGTGTGTGTGTGTGTGTGTGTGTGTATTTTGTCATGATATTAATGGTCATACAGAAGACTAAATAATTCTTTAAAAAGGCTTCATCTAGCTTCCTGTACATGATTTCAAGTTTGAGTCTCTATCAAGTAACTAGGAATTAAGTTTTTGTACTCTGGATATACATAATAAATATCGATCCTTTTAACCTCTTTGGAAAAAACAGCAAGTCTATAGTAAGACACTTGAACACCTAGGGAGTGTTCTGTAGATTGGAAAATTAAGAAATATCTTTCCCAATAGCACGAGTCAAAATGGGAATCATAATGGAAATCAGAATCATTTTTACCTTAGTTATCACAAAATAGTTTCAGTGCTGGCGTAATGGCCCAGATGGTAGAGTGCTGACCCAGTTCAGTCCCCACAACTGAATAAAATCAGATGTGCTGGCAAAATACCACCAACAAAAAAAGTTTCAAGACCATACAGGATGCTGTTTCAACAGTACTTACAATTTATAGTCTGGAATGCTTGTGTTAGAATTAAAGATGGGTTAAAAATTAATGAGCAAAGAAGCAATCATAAAACCTCAGAGAAAGAACTAGATAGTAAACCCTCAAGAACAGAAGAAGGGGATCATGAAGATAAGGACAGATTTTAATGAAATAAAACCAAACATAAAAAGAATTAAGAAAACCAAATCTTGTTTATCTGCAGGAAAGCAAACAGAATGGATGAGACTCTTGCATGATTAAGATAAAGCATAAATCTCTAACGTTAGGAATGAAAATGAAGCTGCCATTACAGACAGAGTGGTTATTTAAAAAGTTGTTATGAATAACTTTATGTGAATAATTTAGAAAGGTCTGACAAAATCCATAGAAATGATTTACTAAAACTTTGACCTGAGAAACTCAGACTATGTCTCAGACCATTTTCAAATTTCCCAAAGAAAGAGTTGAATTGGCTAATTGGCTACCCTTTTGTTTAGATATACACCAGATATGATAAATAAAAACTAAGATGTTGCATTTTTGCTTCAAAATAATGTCTGCCAAGGTCAGTACAATGAGGATAAAGGAAAATCTCAGGGGCATGGGTCATATGGGAACAGACACTCCACAGAAAATGCACGACCCTGTTGCAGCCCTCATGTATACATACAATGGGAATGTTTACATATATATATTCTGATCACTGGAGTTGTCTAATGTAAGTCTTAGAGTATCTGAAATATAATGATATTCCATTTATGTCCAGCAAATAAATATCTTAAGAAAAATAGTATCTCTGATAGTTCATATTTCCTTTCTTTTCAGATAGGAAGTAAAGGGCAGGCTGGGTAGGAACAAATAAGAAACACAAATTAATAATCACAATAAATCATTGTGCCACACCTTCAAGTACTTAGTTTTCTAAGCAGAATACAATTCAGATTATTTAGCCTGACATTTGGGGCCTCCCTCACCTAGATTCTGCTAGTTTCATCCTTCTATAGCTCTCAGACCCTGCAAAACTCATAATAATGTCTGTCCACATTCTTCTAAGACATTCATGGCAAAGTGACTGCTTTCAGCATCCCTGTCTGTGCCTTGATCTCCTGGGGGAAATACCTATGTGTCCATCTGTAGAGATTCCTTTCTGTGCCTACAGATAGGTTTTTCACCCCGAGAGGAATACCCAGCATCCTCCAACTGCGATGACTGTGTCCTTCTGTAGCGCCTACAGGCTCTGTAACATTTTAGCATACTTCTCCGGACAGATGTCTGTCTTCCTTTACTGTTCCATTAATTCCTTAAGGGCAACAATCATGTTCATTTCTCCATACTAATAGTTAACCCTTGCTTGGTTATAAAAGGTGGCCAATTTAGCAAGCAAAGAATAAGAATAAAAACAAACAAACAGAACCAACATAGTTGACCTCCAAATACTAAGAGCCAGAGCCCTTGACCTCTGAAGTGTTGTCGCCTGGTGGATACGTTTGTCACCAGCATAATCTAGACTCTCCCTGTCTGTGGGGAGCTGGTTCGTTCAACCATGCTGGTGTCAATATTTTCTTTCGGTACATTCTGCCTGAAGAATCTAAGCGATTGGAATTCCTATTCATGGGGTTCCAGGGACAATTTTTGAGGGTTTCATCAAAATTCTAAGTCAGAGGTTCCAATTTTACAACCAGGGAGTAGAAGGTGGAAGTCAGTGATGTTTGGGGGGTTGGCAAGCTAGGTTTGAGATTGTCCAAGTTTCAGTGCTCTTTACATACTTACTACTGCTCTTGGGCTCTCCAAAGCATCTGAACCCACAACCCTTAATCTAAAGCAAGTGCCTCATGAGACAGTCACTCCTACGGTCTTTCCCACACTCCAGTTAGGAGTCTGCTGGGTAGCTGATCATTTTGCTGTGGTAGGTCTGTCCTGCCAGTGTGCTGAGAAGGCACATGGCTGGGGCAGCAGGGAGAGAGATGACAGGACAAAACACGACAGAAACCAACAGGGAAGGAAGTCTGCCAGCTCTGCTTTTCCCTCTGCCCCATCCTCTGATTCTTCTTAGGAAAGTGGGTATCATGCCAACAGGTAACCTCCTCCAATGGGGACTTGTCCAGGGTCAGGAGAATCATCTCAGCTTCCACTCCAATTAGGTAACTCTTAGCCACATCAGCACATAGTAATATAATAAATACATGCAATTCTGATCAGTCGAATAAGTGATTCTTTCCACTTATGTGGGACCATATCATAGAGCCTCGGAGATAGTATAGGGTGTATCCACAATCTCGAGGGCCATGCTGTTTAAGGAAGACTGGCATGTGGACAGTAAGAGGGAGGTTCTGGGAGGAGAGCAGAGACACTAGGTCGAGAGTAGAGATGGTGTGTGTGTGTGTGTGTGTGTGTGTGTGTGTGTGTGTGTGTGTGTAGATTTTTTTAGAGGAAATACCAGGTGTGAGGAAAAGAAAGGCAATGAAGGCCTGTTGTGGGATGTTGCCTAGGAGACAAGGCTACATACTGGATTATTAAATGATGCAACATGCCAAGAATTTTAACATAAGTCCAAATTCATTGAGGATCCTTAGAAGATTAATTTGGGAAATGAAGTGATTAAGTTTGAATTTTTGAAGTTAGATCCTCTGAATAGATCCCCATGAGGCTATGCCAAGGTATTTTAATAAACGCAGCATCGGATTGTCTTTGTGTGCTTATGTCAGTGCACATGTAAATTGACGCACCTGTGCATCTAGAAAATTCCAGGTGTTCCTTTTCTTCCATTATTGTCTTTGCTTTCTTGTTTTGTCCACTGATATTGACATGGAATAATTCCAACAGTGAAAGCCGGCCAAACAAAGCATAACTCCTAACATATTTCATTTTTAAGTTGACAAGGCAATGCATTCTGTAGGAACTAACTAGATGTTGTTTGCGATCTTTTTTTTTCTACTTTGTTCTTTTTGTACTCTTCATCTTCATGTGAAGTGAATTCTAAATCTTTAAAAGATCTGGGGTCTACAGTTGTGAAATCTGTGGTCTCATCATCACTGTAAAGATTCCTTTGTAGATTTTTAAATGAGTGCTGCCAGTACTCAGATTGATTCTGTGTCTGTGTTCCATTAATGTTTACAGGAATGATTACCAAATAAAATCTCAGTGGGGGAAGAAGTCACAGGATTTGTTTATAAGGGCACCACATTTTAGCTTACCTCCTATTGTGGCTTTCACCCCGGTTGTTCATATTTCTCATTTTCCTGACATTCTGGTTTTCACAGAACCAAGACTTCAAGCAGCTAAATGTTGCCTAAAAGACAGAGCCCCACCAGGGGACCTTCTGTGGATTGGAATGGGACTCACAGTATGAGGATGTGGACTTGCCAGGCAGGAGTGCCCTCTGTGGTGGGGCATGAGTGAGCAGAAAGAATTGTGCTGTCTCTGTCTCCAGCTTCAGGGTGGGGCCAGAAATGCTGTTTGGCATTTCTATACTCATTCCGTAGAGACACTTCGTAAATATATTTAATATTCTGTGGGTCTAGTCTCCTTTTCTTTGTCAGCATTTAGAATGGGATTGTGAGATTAGCTAACTTGACCCTCCATGCTTCCTACCCTGCATGTTGACCTTCCTTTGGCGTCTTTTTGGGTCCCTAGGTGGCATGAAAGGACCCCGTATCTTGTCACAAGTATCTCTTGATCCAAAGCAGTCATTTTCCTTTTCCTCTTCCAGTTCCAATTTGGAGGTCACTTAATTGGGAGGTTGATCTCCACCCACACACTGATTTGCTGAGAGATAAAAATAAGGAGTGGGAAATGAAAGGAAAAAAAGACAGGTTGGCTGTCCTTTGCATTCTGCAGCACTGTGAGGAAAGTTGAAGTTTAATAGAATACCTCTGAAGAGAAACAGACCTTTGACCAGCTGGTGCTGCCAAAAACCAGAGGGAACACAGCAGAACCAAACTATGAAGCTGGATGCCGTAGTTCATGCCTGTATCCGGTGTCATATAGTTCGCTTCAGCCGTCAACACAACCCAGGGTCACTCGGGAAGAGGGACCCTCAATGGAGGAATTGCTTGGACCAGATTGGCCTCTAGGTATGTCTGCCAGGCAGTTTTGTAATTGCTAATGGATGTAGGAAGGCCCAGCCCAGTGTGAGGAGGGATAGCATCCCCGGCTGGGATAGCATCCCCGGCTGGGTCTGGCCGGTGGAAGAAAGGGGGCTGAGCAAGCGAGAGAGTGAACCAATAAGCAGCAATCCTCTCTGGTTTCTGCCTCTGCTCGGGACTTCCCTCAATGGCGGACAGCGACCTGGGAGCGTCAGCCAGACAAGCCAGTTTCCCTCCGCTGGTTTGCCTTTGGTTACAGGGGTTGATACAGAAACAGCAGCAATCTAGAGTAGCTGGCATGGCCAAAAGTGGGGAAGTGGGGTAGGACATCAGAAATTCGAGGTTATCCTCAGCTACAGATTAAAGTCAAGGCCAGTCTGGGTGCTGTGAAAGAAATCCTGTCTCACAGACGGGAAACAATAAAGAAAAACACCAAAACTACAGACAGGTACATAAACAACAACAAAAACCAAAACACACTACACCTAGCGAGTGAGAGTAAAGTTCCACTGAGATCGCTGAAACCCTAACCAAAAGATCTAGGGTTTGGGCTACAAACCAACATATTAAAAATGTCCAGATAATCCATTAAATAATTGGCAATATATTAAAACACTAGCAGTCACAGTAGGAGCAGTATCATATAAAACTAGAAAGCTATCGAAATTACACACACATTGTGAGTCAATAAAGCATGCACACACATAGTAACAGCTCAAGAATGTATCAAAAATTAAAGAAAGTTTTAAAAAAAGATTAAAATAAAAAGAGAATGTATCAAGAATCAACTACCAGTGTTCAACCTTAAGATGTAGAAACATGGATGATTTTCATTTTCTTTTCTATGCTTTATTTTCCCAATTTAAATAACCAAGGCTTATAGCAAAAAAAAAAAATAATGTTTCTTTAAAAATAAACTACCAATCATCTAATATAGCTTACACATTTTAAATGCATTTTCCATTGCTATAACAAAATATTAGAAGCCGAGTGTTTCACAAAGAAAAGTATATTCACAGTTTTAGAGACTGAAATTCTAAGATCGGGCGGGACTCTTGGTTTGGTCCCTTTCATGGCAGACAGGGTCCTGATGGAAGGAATGCCTCTGAGAGCCTGTACCTGTGGAGAGAGTGAGCCAGAGCGTGGAAGGGGTCTAGCTAGTCTGACTCTTAGAGAGCCTGGCTCTTTCAGGAACGAACTAGGGCCTATAACAACTGCTAATTACTGAGGTCTGTGCCCACGGTGAACCAGCCTTTGTGAGGGTTAGCACTAAGTCCCTCTCTAAAGTTTTCACCCCCTCCCAATAACACCATGCTGAGGATGATGTATGATCCCTTGGGGTAGAGGAGACACTCAATCCAAACTATAGTGCTTGCTCTCTTGCTCTTCTCTCTCTGTGTCTCTTTCTCTGTCTCTCTCTGTGTGTTTCTTTCTCTGTCTGTCTGTCTCTCTCACTCCCTACCCCACCCCACCCCATGTATAAAAGGCACAAAACATTCACTGTTTACTTCTGTTAAAGCAGAGCTCTGGCTTTTAAATGTCAGTGAAAATAAACCAGAGATTCCACTCATAGCCTCTAAGTGTGGTTGGCTTCACATCGCTTTTATCTGATTAAAAGAAGCTAACAAAATACATGCCAACAACAAAGTCAGAGGGGAGAAAAGAAAAGCTAGCCAACATCCTCTTGGGTGGTAGATGGAGCCGGGGATGGGAACACTGGAGTGAAATGGGAAATGTTGCCAGATACTGATTCTGAGATAACAGGATTGAAAAACGACCGTTTTCCCTCCCATAAAACCCAAACAAAAGCCACCTGTAGATGTCTCACAGAAGTAAATCAAGTTGGATTGAGGTTGTGAGGACTCTACCAGAATTTTCCAATGATATGGTATGTGTCCTCTGTGGTTGAAGAACAGAATTCCTTTCTAGTGAATGCTGGAATGTAGGTAGGAGTAATGCATTTAAGAAAGGGAGATTTTTAGATAATTGTTCATTTTCTTTTGCTCTTGTGTGGATCCTGCTTTTGAATTTTGTTTTTAGCCTCAGCAAATTCTTGTACTGCAACCACAAGGAAGGATCATGTTAGCCGATGAGAATTAAGCCAAACAAAAGTGTGCAAGAAGAAAGACTAGAAGGAAGTGTGCCCACGTCCCCTGCGGTCACCTCTGGGACATAGAGTGAGGGGCCCTCAGGTTTCTACCTCTTTTCCCTGGGTTTTTGCCTGGCTTTCTTAAATGGCCGTGGAAAACAGTGCACCAACGCTTGATTTGACTGTGTAAATGATAAAGCTGTACTGACTCTGGGACAGTGTTTGTGAGAAATGTTCAGAAGGGAGTGTTTTGACCCGGGGCAGTGAGGTCAGCCTGAAGATGGCCTGGGGATGGAGGGTGAAAGCTGTTCTCTAGATAACAATGGTGGGTGACTTCAGAACTTTCAATAAATTAGGGAAAACAGAAGGAAATTCACAAACCTGGCCTGTCTTCTCTAGATTCTGTGCCCTCCCCCCCCCCTTCACACAGGCTTTGGGTGTGACATAAGAAAGAACTTCCAGGCCTGTAGAGCACCTGTACCAGCCTGGGCTTCCACTGAGGTTTATAGCCCTTTGAACAAATTCAAATATATTTCCTTTTTTAAAACCTCCTGTATTTTGTGTGCATGTGTGTATGTATGTATGTATGTATGTATGTATGTGTACACACATGCATGTGGAGGTCAGCTAAGCACTTCAGCTAATTTATTGCTTTTGGAACCAGTCCGTCAGGCAAATCACACTGTCCTTCTCCTTTAATGCTGTCCCCTTACACCCAGACACAGAGCAGAATCCAAACACACAGAGCTAGTAGATAGTTTTCCAATCCAGGCCCCTACCAAATTCTTCATGGCATTTCCACTTATTATATTGGCGTTTTAGAAGGAGAATATTGATTTTTAAGCGAGCAGGGAAGTGTAGTTCATAGAACCGTTTTGAGAAGAGCCGCGGTGTCCAATTGTGTGGGTCGGACACTAAGGAGAGGCTCAACGTCTGCAGGGTTGCATCTGCCCTGAGAGGACGCTGGCTAGTGCATGTGGAGGCTGGAACGAGGCTCCCAGCAGCAGTGAGGGTGAGAGAGACAGAGACAGAGACAGAGACAGACTTAGACTGCCTGGGGTTCTAGCCTGTAGTATTCCACGTGACCTTATTCCCAGTTAAAGCCTTTCCCATAATGAAGCTATAATGAAGTCTTTTTGTTTTTCTTTTCTTTTCTTCCTTTTGGGTAGGGTTTTTATATATACCCCAAGCTGGTCTTACACGCTTAATCCTCCTAACACAAGCACCTAAGTGTTGGATCCTAAGTTGTACCAGCCCAGCTCATGATGAGGACTTGATTCTGTAGTCTTATCCAGTGTGGCCAAGTGTCCTAATGAAAGGTGGATGTGTGAACACAAAGGGAACACACTATGAAGACACAAGCCCAAGGGATGCCTGGTGGGGAGAGGCAGGAAAGATTCCTTCCTCACAGATACCAGAGGGAGCCTGGACCTCTGGCAACACCTCCATTTGGACCTCCAGCTTCTGAACTAAGAGACTGTAAAATTCTGTTGCCTCAGCCTTCCCGTTCATGCTACTTTGTTATGGCAGGCTATCTCCAGCTTTCGCACTCTCTCTAACTCCAGGCATCTTTTCTCCACCTTCTGTATCTTGCCTTTCTCATTACTTCTTTCCTCTGTTCTGGGCTCCATTGTCTAGTCAGTAAGTCAGAGCCAGGAAATCTCCAGAGAAGGGACACTCAAGTTAGTCAGGGTGACTCAGAATTGCTCGTTTCAGGCTTTGCCCAAGCTAATGTGTCTACTCAGTGTCCATAGTTTTAACCCTGGGTAATGAGTTGGCAATGCACACTCAAAGCTGTACCTGCCAAGTGGTTCCCAAGTGAAAACTGGGTACCCACATGTCGAGTATCATTTGGGTCCGAAGTGACTAGATTCTGTACTCAGAACCAGTGATCTTCTGTTGGCCATTATCTGTGGCAATCAAGCATCTCCATGCTGTTTGTCTTACTATCTATCCAGCAAAGAGACATTTTTGTGATCATTCAGATTGATTTTTATCTTAATCATAATCATGTATAAAATTGATTTGACATACAACCTGTCAAGATTATAGATGAAATGAACCACAGCAATCCAGAACCAGCACTTTCCAGGAAGTGCTGTGGCCAAACTTAGCAATGTGCCTCTCTGAAGCTGAATTCCCAAGCCAGGACGCAGCTGTACTACAGTGTTGTGACTTTCTCCAGAAGATAAACATGACCTTTCTTCTTTAGGGAAGAGATGAAGTTTCATCAGCAGGCCACTTTCTCTGAATATTATGTGTGAGGATATGACATCTTAAGATGGATTCAGTCTTCATTATGAAGGTCATGTATGCCTCAGTTCTCAAAGGTTTTTATGAATACATCAGCCGTCTCAAGCGAAGCTCATCCTGCACACCCACGCTAGCACACACACATTTCCTAGTTGCGACAGAGGAACTATGATGGAGACAGATCAAGCGCTTCCCTTATGATGGTGCAGTCACCCTACCTTTCCTAGGGAGTCAGCAATGGTGAAACAAGACAGTTCCCACCTCTGTTGCTGGCATATGAACTACTATTAAACGCAGTCCTGAGCTACATGTGTGCGTTCTACCCAGCACTGCTGCCTCGGACTGTTAAATAAGATATGTATGGCCAAAATGGGAGCTCCATTACATGCTTCCCATTTAACTGTGCTTACATAGGGAAGACCCTGCATCTTGTAGACCCAGGCTCTGGACTGCAAGGTCTTTGTTACTGAACCTTTCTGAGTCTCCACTTCCCTCACAAGTAGAGAATGCTGTACAGAATCTGCTGTCTTTTGAAGTGAGTGGGTGAAGGTAAGAGAAAGGTCTTCACTCAAGGTCTCCATAGCTTATAGTTCTGCTGCAGAAATGGTGGTTCTCCTGTTCAGCTAGGCTTTGTGTGTGTGTGTGG